CCGTTGTCCCTCCCAACTGCTGCTATTCCTCTCGTTCCATCAGATGCTGAGGGGCAGTTTCAGAGCAAAGTGCGATCTCCCATCATCAGCAGCGACATGGTGGATTGGTCCTGCAAGCTGAAGGCAGATTGTTTACTTATCTGCCGTCCTGGCGAGCATGCATGCATCCCATCCGATGATGATCAGTTGTAGTGGCCCTCTCAGCAGTATGCAGCAGTGGGAGGGATGAGAAGAGTGACATTGACACCTCATTTGTGGTGGTATCACATGCAACAGGACCCCAAACTCCTTGGTTCCATGGCCTGCAGTGAGAAAGCGCAAAAGAGTCATTGTGGCTTTTTGACATCTTCAACAACAACCATTCAGCTTTTTGTCCAGTCCAGTTTGAATTTAATGGGGCTCAAAATTCACCTGAAATTTACCAACAAAGTCCATTCGGGTATCATCTCTAAGCTGGAATCAACTCATTTAATCATCAGCAAAGTACATTCATCAATTCATGTTCCATGCTGCATTAAACAACCCACACTATTAGTTTATGTAACCCAATAAGTGATTGATAAGACTCATTTAACAAGAAGTTTTTAGGTTTATGAAAAAGCCAAACACCTTTCTGTAGAAACAGTAAGTCAAACCATTATAGCCAGATATCTCACCTTGGCAAAGATTCTGCTTATGACAAGAATCCAAGAAATAAAAGCAAAATCTCACATCAGGATGTTCTTACTTGTTCACGGATCAGGCAACTTAAAGGCAAAATAAAACATTTAAACAACAGTCACAGTAAAAGAAAAGATGTAAATATATCAATCCAGGAGTTAGAAAATCAAAATGAATAAACTCAAACAACAGTAACTGATTATAACACAAAATCATTAAAAATAAAAAGACTATTCAGCAAAAGAAAGGAACAGAGCTTTAACAATTAACCCTAAGAAATCTATGTATTCCAGGCTGAGATCACTGCTTTTGCTTCAGGGTAAGCCAGAGGCCAAAATAATAAAGAATAAACTTAACTACTCACTAACCCTTGAAGTACCATATATCTGCCTAGCTTATCAAACAAGCAAAAGGTTAAACAGAAATGGCAGCTCACCCTTACTATAGCAGTATTAAAACACAATTTACACCAAGCAAAACGTCCTTAGAAGTTTAGTGACTGGGTCAGAACTCAGAACATTTCTGTCTCTTTTGTCCTTTACTGATAAAGATCTGAGACAAACCTTTTTTTGCTCAGAGCCAGAAAAAACTTATCTGATTAACTGTTCAGCAAGCAGCTCAACCAGTCTTGAGCTGGACTGACTTCAGCAGCAGCCGACTTTGAAAAATAAATCAAATAAAGATTTAACAGAATATCGGGGAACCAGGGAGATTCAAATGATGATAACCATTATTTTTGGAATGCCCAAACTGTAGTTTTGTATGCAAACAGGCACTACAAACCTTCTAATACCCGGGTTTTAGGTTGTCACCCCCTGAAATCTGGTAAATTCGCACTCCCAGAAAGTAAAAAGTAAAGATAAACCCAATATACAATTAACTGCAAATAAAAGAACATAGGATGGAGTCAGAGTACTTTAAACCAAGCTTTTCATATGTCTCATAAAAGTAGCTCACTTCTCCAAAGAAAATGACAAATGTTACAATTACACCATATTTACTTAGTCTGACCAATGAAACAAAACAGGTTGCTGAGCTAAGGTTTGCATTCCATGAAGGAACTTTACCAATTGAAAACAGAGACCATCCCGAAGCAAAACCACATTCTTAAATTAAATCCAGTAGCAGAAAGCATCTGTGGACATGGATTAGGCCTCCCAGCTAATCTGCCTTCTCAGGAACTCGAATCTGGTAAAACCAGATCTGTGTTAGAATTTGCACAAAGGAAAAGAGTTTATCACTTTAAAATGGCAATAAGGCACCTTCTTTACAGTTATACATCATATGAAAAAACCAAGCAGAAACTATTCATGGGGCTTTGTACCACATTAATACCAAATCATACTTTATAATAAAGGCACCTTCTAATTCTGTAACTCATTCATCACACAAGAGAAATACACAAAGGGGCATTAGGGAACTATTTAGGCCTAAATCCTACGTGATCTATTAGTGTCAACCACAAACCCTGGAAAATCTAATTTCTAACAGGAAAATAATAAATTGCAGGGATCTGGTTTAAGTTAAACCTCTTACTCATCCGTCAACACCACAAAGTCAGTTTATCACTTCAAAGAGTTTATCAGCAGTCACACACCCATGGAGATAACAGCAAACTTTTAGCCACACGAACCGTTCTCATGCCATCCTTTATGGGGAAAATAGAGATTTTTTAATGCTGACATGAGGTCTCTGCCTAGAAGATTTAACAGGCAGCCTGATGATTGACAGGCTCACGGCTAGGTCGGCTCCTCTATGTTTGGAAACCCCTGCCTCTTTGGGCTCTTGTTATCTGGGCCACCTGACTAGGAGGGACAGTCACATGACATGTGACCTTGACCTCCACAAGTCCAACAAACGAGTGGCTGTGAGTGGTCTAGTGAGGACCACCGTCTCTGATTGCTGTTACGTCCATCCTTCTGGGGATTAAACTTCCCTCTGTAGCTACCCTGCTGGTGATAAACAGCTTTCTTTTTTTACACACACACACACACACACACACACACACACACACACACACACACACACACACACACACACACACACACACACACACACACACACACACACACACACACACACACACAACTGAACACACCGTTTCAGAATTACCTCTAGATTCATACTTTCTCATACATGCACAGACAGACATTCTCATACATGCACAGACAGACAGACAGAAAACAGACAGACAGACAGACAGACAGACAGAACCGGTTCAAACTTCAAAATTGTAGCTACACAATCACACTTAGAAGAACCTGCAGGTACTCAAATACTCAGATATACACACACAGATGCTCAGAACTGCAGTTGTCTTACACACACACACACACACACAACATTCCTTGAAGTCCTGAGTCACCATACCTACACGACAGCTTTTCACACACACAGAAACACAATGAGTCAGCAGACACACAAAATGACAAGGAATGAATTTTAGAACGGCTTGGATTACTTTAGCCAATTTCAACGATGATTAACTCTCTGGACCATGAAATTTTATTTAACATCCCAGCGACAGTATGATTTTTAGCATCTATCTTTCTTCCTCGACACCAGCACATGGGCTTCGTGCTGCGTGTATATGGGGTTCACAACGGTTTTAGGCCCACTACACATTCACCTGTCTTTTACCACCCACAGCAGCACTGTGGGCTGTGCCCGGCAGACACAGATGAATTACAACCCAGCAGGTCTACAGCCACGGTTCACGTTTCAGTGCTACCTCTACGGTTCACACGTGTAACCCTTAAATGGACACGAAAACGTCTTTTCGTGCGTGAATGCCTAGTCACCACACTCAGCTTAAAAAAAACACTGCCAACTAGTTATATAGAAAAAGGGTGCAATTTAATTTAGGTACTTACTTGGCGTTCCTTGTCCTGGTAGAGCGAGAGCCATAGGCGGAAGTTCACCTGCGGAGCAGCCGGCCGGAGAGCAATTCAGCTGGCCGGACTTTAATGAGGAAGTGGCCATGCGGCTCCCCGAAGGCGATCTCCCACCAGAAGGCATCTGCTACCTTGCTCGAAAGACCATTAACTGTTAGAATTTTTATATGCGTCACCTGAAATAACACACCTTACATAATTAGAAATTGAGGAAAGAGGGAGAAGGCCCAAACTCCCTCCGGAGCTTTCCATCGTCTCTCTCCCATATTACAGCTCCTCCATTACCTTAAAGGACGACACACACAGAGAGAGAGAGAGAGTGTAGATTGATTATTCGTAATTTACATGACCCTGAATCGATATGCGAGAGCTGGGCGCAGAAAGCCTGTCCATGGAGCCAAACGGAGCCTTACCCCCACTCAGCTCACAGACAAAGCCCTCAGCTCACCAGCTCTGCATGCCCGCATTCTCCACCACATGATAGGTAATTTTAATCTATGTTCTCCAATTTAATTTAGCATTATTCACTATTATGTTGCGTATTTTAATTTATACTATTGTTCTTATATTACCTTAAACTTATATTACCTTAAAGGAAGTCAGAACACACACACAGAGGGATTAGATTCTTAATTTGGTAAACTGTAACAAACCTATTAAACAGACAAACTCTGCAAAGTGTAAACTCTGTAGAGGGTGAGAGAATCAGACCATACAACACGGAAGCCATTTTCCTCTCACAAAGGAGCCGGGAGCTCATGGAGGGGTTTTTATTGAATCCAAAATGTTCACACCCACAAATACCATTAGCGTGCAACCCCTGCCTGACCAGTTTGGAATAACATCTTGGTCTTAGAATGCACAGGAAAACTTCAGATACTGGATCAAAATGCCTAAAGCAGAAAGGAGTTTCCTAAAACACCCAAACGTGAAAACAAATAACTAGGTCAGGGTTTTTCCTAACCACATTTAAGCAGCAAAGGTGAATGAACTCTTCACATAGACAAAGGAAAAGATTTCACAACAATAATGAACAATTAAAAATACCTAACACTTTGTAACACTACAGACGCAGAACTTCTATCACGCTCCTACCACACAGAGTCACGGTGTCAGTTAACCATGCTAATTCAACCCGCTCCACAGAACACACATCACCTTCCCTGTGGCTTACATTAACATAACACTCAAATCAACACAGAAACTAGCAGAGGGATAGGAAACACATATAACACAATACGCAGAATGCACCTGGCTTACAACCCCAGCCAGGTCATTACACTATATTCCCTGATGTGGGGCTAGGGGGGTGCGTCGAAATGTTCGGGACATAGAAGGGGGTGCGCGGCTAAATAAGTTTGGGAACTGCTGCATTAGATGATTAAAAAAAAGTGTTTTTAATTGTCAAATTAATCAACATTTTCTTTTTTCTCTTATCCTGTCTAGATCTTCCACAGCATCATGTCTGTGAAAAGGAGAAGGATTTGACTGTCCAGCAGCTCTTTAACCAGGAGTTGATCTCCTGTTCAGACCAGGAAGAACCAGAACAGCTAAAACTTATCCAACATGAAGGGCAGCTCCTGAACCAGGAAAATCTTACCTTCACGGATACTCCTCTGTCTGAAGAAACAAAATGTCATGAACCGGAACCAAACAGGAACCAGCCATTGTGTCAGAGTTCTACAGAACCTGAGAACCAAGATCGGGGTGGATGCAGAAAAGAAAACTCAGAATCAAACGGTAGTGAAGAACTGAAACTGAATAAAAGACGTCAGCGAAGCAAAGAACACAGAGAAAGTGTAGGTGGTGAAATACTTAAAAAAAAGAGGGTTCACAGAGGTGAGAGACCATTTTATTGTAAGCTCTGTGGAAAATCTTTCAGTCGCAAATCTTATTTAAATACTCACATGAGAGCTCACACAGGTGAGAAGCCATACTCATGTAAAACTTGTGGTAAATGTTTTGCTAACAGTGATAGCTTGATTAAACACATGAGAACTCACACAGGTGAGAAGCCATATCCATGTAAAACTTGTGGTAAATGTTTTACTATCAGTGGTAACTTGACTGCACACATGAGAACTCACACAGGTGAGAAGCCATATCCATGTAAAACTTGTGGTAAATTTTTTACTAACAGTGGTCACTTGACTGCACACATGAGAACTCACACAGGTGAGAAGCCATATCCATGTAAAACTTGTGGTCAATGTTTTAGAGACAGTGGTGGCTTGACTAAACACATGAGAACTCACACAGGTGAGAAGCCATATCCATGTAAAACTTGTGGTAAATGTTTTACTAACAGTTGTAGCTTGACTGCGCACATGAGAACTCACACAGGTGAGAAGCCATATCCATGTAAAACGTGTGGTAAATGTTTTACTAACAGTGGTAACTTGACTGCGCACATGAGAACTCACACAGGTGAGAAGCCATATCCATGTAAAACTTGTGGTAAATGTTTTACTAACAGTGGTAGCTTGACTAAACACATAAGAACTCACACAGGTGAGAATTGATTTCATCTTCTATGAGATTCATTTTCTTTACCTTCTGATTTGAAAATTCACACTTGAGATTGTATTCATTAAAATATGTTTGGCAACATATCATAGATGCCTTCAAGTGCTCAAGGCATGGGTGGAGACTTATTTCATCCACACTTCCTGTTAGAAAAACGCTTCTGAAAAGTAATTATCTGACAAAATCACATTTTGTAGCTTGTCTTAGGAATGTAGATGTGATTGAGCACATGCGCACGTGATTTAAGACACGGGTGGTCTGTGATGTCACAAGCACATGTGGGTGGGTCAAAAGCGCAGAGAAGTCCGCAGTGTCCATTATTAAACAAAAGCAGCCTAAGTAGTCTTGCTTTTGGACACTTTCTGACTTTCATATTGCATCCTGCTTTGCTGGGTCTGGCAGGTGTGTGTGTGTGTGTTTGTGTGTGTGAGAGAGAGAGAGTGCGCGCGCCTCACAGCAGTGAGGGACAGAAAAAAACAGCTTTTGTGAGAGGCTTCTTAACTCCACAGCATCAACGATAATGAATCACGCATGCGGGAAGCCTCCAGCAGGCTGATTCCCGCCGCCATTAGGAGTTGGTAATGGTAGGCATGCTTTTGAGTTAGCCAATCAGTCAGCAGTGGGCGTGTCGGCCCTGTTCAGCTCCAGATGGACCTACTTGGGAAGAGGGCTGGAAAGACATCTGGAGAGAAAAAACTCCTAACCCATGCCATTATTTTACCCAGATCTTTAACTTGTGGTCACATCTGCCTTAAAAATGTTCTTGCTTTATACCAGTGTCCCTCAATAGGCGGTCTGGACCTGGCCTGACAACCTCCCAAGTTTTCAATTCTACTCTGCTTGGTCAGGGAGCACATTGCTTGTCATGTGGATGAGGCGCAGTGGCCAGAAAAAAACGAGCGGATGCAGCACAGTCGTTTATTAATTCATTTTTTCCTTTATTCGTTTTAGCTTAACTATTAATTATAGTCTTCTGTTTGTACATGTAGACCACTGCATAGGCAACTCTGTGTTGGTTTGGATGAACTCTGTTTTGTGTTAAAACACACTAAAGTATATTTTGTAACGTGTTTGTGAGTTTTGTACACAAACATTCTGAAATATTTAATGCACTGTCGTAGTACAGTAAGTGTAACACTGAACACAATAAGTCGTTATGATGACTGGAGAAGTGGTCATAATGTTTTACACATCAGAGTTGATCTGGTTCTTATAAATGTTTACTCATGTGATGGTTTGCGTGTCATTTGGAAACCAAAGACCATTTTGAGAAGAATGTGCGTGTTTTTGGATTCGCGTGTAGAGCTCCAAAAATATGTTGCATGCTTTAGAAAACATGAATAAACAACTGTGAAGACCTGTAATTGAAATTATGTGTGAAAAGTGTTTTCCAATTCAACAAGTTGGTATGAAAAGTAGGGCAGCTGACTTTACAGTTTTTAAGGACTGTGTTTGTTGTGAAAAGAGATTTCCTTCATGATTTCCTTGATAAACGTGTGTTTTTAAACCGTAATGTAAGTGTGAAGCAGAGATTGTGCTAGTAGTTCAGGAGAACTGTTTAGGGGAGTTGGCACATCAGCTACATGTTGGTAGTCACTGTGCCAGACGTAAAAAGAATTGTGTGTAAACAACAGCGTTAACATTAGTGGAGTGATCATATATAGTTTGATCTCATTTTCAAATAAAGAGAAAAATGTTTTTTTTTTTTTAGTATTTTGATCTTTATGAATATGCCAATTGTTATGTAAAATAACAGATTAAATACACAAAAATGCTGTTTTTCCTCAGATGGATGGTCAGTGAAGCCGAACAATATATGTTTAAAGGTGCAATATGTAAGAATATAGTGAAAATTTTACAGTGAGAAAATCCCCAATGAATGTAATGTTCAGTCATTTTGGAAGGAAGGTTGTACTGAAACATATTTCATATCCAGCTGGCTGCTGGATATGCCGGGTTATGTTTGAGGTTGAAATGGCTCTGAGGGACAGACACAACCAGGTTGGAGTGGATGCAGGGGACAAGCTGAGTTTTGTGGCAAGGAGAAAGGGTAAGAAAAGGCCTCAGGAGTTAGATGATGAAAGATCACGAACCCACTTAATCACAACAGTCACAAAACTTGTCTCTGAAGGTGTTAGCAGTGGAAAAACAACAGCAGTCAGCTTCTGTTGACGTTACACACAAAGCTGAGAGCTAAGCAGAAGTTCCTGTGAAGCCGCTAGACAAGACACACAGGGGCCCCCTCAATTCCTTCTGCTCCACTGTATTCCCTGCCACCTCCTTACAGGTATGACAGCTCTGCTGTGTGTGCTGGGGTGCTGATGAGCAGGCTCCCCCGCCGAACACTGAGCACAGCAACCCACCACCCCAGACCCCAACCAGACGGCCAGATCTCCCTCCTAGCCTAAAGCCCCAGGAAGCCAAGCAACAACAGAGGTGTGCTAAGACCCCTAGTCTCCCTCCGCCTGCTCCATTATAGTGTTGTGTGTTGATGATGTGTATTCCATTGCTGTGGTGAGCGGGCAGTGCAGGCATTGTCTGGCCTATGCCAGCGGATGCCACCACACCACCCCACTTGCACCCACAGCGCTCGGTGTCTTAAGTGCAGTTTAAAATTGGAAGTGGGTACCGGCACTCAGGAGGAGGCTGAGAAATCCCCCTTCCAAATACCGTTGAATGTGCTCTTAAGTGTGTGTTTGCGTGAAATGTCGTCGATGGAAGTGTATAAGGTGCAAATAAAATTGGGGGGCAGGTTGTCACAGGAATGCGGAAATGGGGTCCATACCCGCACTCCCTGACTTGTCCATCCCCCAAGGTCCTATGGGCATGTTTGTGTGATGATGTGAGGAAGCAGCAGGAGAGAAATCCCTTACGAAAAAGAAGTATACTTTAAGTATATAATTTCAAGTATACTTAAGTGTACAGAAGTTTATTTGCATACTTGTTCTTAAAGTTTACTTAGAAGTATACTCCTTGGGACTAAATTGGGCCACTTGAAGTATACTGCAAGTATACTTCAAAGTAATAATTTAAGTTTATTTGTAGTGTACTTCTGATATAATTGAGTATACTTTTCTCTTTGAAAGTATACTTAAAGTAACCTCACAAGTGTACTTGGGAGTGTACTTCAGATATAATTGAGTATACTTTTCTCCTTGAAAGTATACTTATAAGTTTACTTGTAGTGTACTTCTGATATAATTGAGTATACTTTTCTCCTTGGAAGTGTACTTAAAAGTAACAATATAAGTTTACTTGTAGTGTACTCCTGATATAGTTGAGTATACTTTTCTCCTTGAAAGTATACTTATAAGTTTACTTGTAGTGTACTTCTGATATAATTGAGTGTACTTTTCTCTTTGAAAATATACTTAAAGTATCCTCACAAGTGTACTTGGAGTGTACTTCAGATATAATTGAGTATACTTTTCTCCTTGAAAGTATACTTATAAGTTTACTTGTAGTGTACTTCTGATATAATTGAGTATACTTTTCTCCTTGGAAGTATACTTATAAGTTTACTTGTAGTGTACTTCTGATATAATCGAGTATACTTTTCTCCTTGGAAGTATACTTAAAAGTAACAATATAAGTTTACTTGTAGTGTACTCCTGATATAGTTGAGTATACTTTTCTCATTGAAAGTATACTTAAAAGTAACAGTATAAGTTTACTTCTAATAAAACTGAGTAAACTTTTGCCCTTGAAAGTATACTTAAAAATAAACTTTAAGTAACATTATAAGTTTACTTGTAGTGTACTTCTGAAATAATTGAGTATACTTTTCTCTTTGAATGTATACTTAAAATTATACTTAAAGTAATAATACATGTTTACTTGTAGTGTACTTCTTATATAATTGAGTATACTTACAGTTGTGAAAGTACACTTTACAGTAAACTTGACGTAATATTCTTTTAGTACATTTAAGTATCTCTATTTTTACTATAAACACATACTGCAAGTAACATTTAACATCTGCTATTTGCTTACTACCAATACATTTAATTTCCACTATTTACTGATACTTCGTCTTTATGCAGAGAAAAAAAAATTAAATAAAATAGCTAAGTCATGTTGTTTAAATTTATTAAACAGAGAGAATTAGAACAGAACAAAAACAGACCTGTTTACCAGGATTAATCAAAGATG